CACACAGCTGGGAGACCAGGGGACACTAAAGAGTGACGCACACAGCTGGAGACCAGGGGACACTAAAGAGTGACACACACAGCTGGGAGACCAGGGGACACTAAAGAGTGACGAGCACAGCTGGAGACCAGGGGACACTAAAGAGTGACGCACACAGCTGGGAGACCAGGGGACACTAAAGAGTGACGCACACAGCTGGGAGACCAGGGGACACTAAAGAGTGACGAGCACAGCTGGAGACCAGGGGACACTAAAGAGTGACGCACACAGCTGGGAGACCAGGGGACACTAAAGAGTGACGCACACAGCTGGAGACCAGGGGACACTAAAGAGTGACACACACAGCTGGGAGACCAGGGGACACTAAAGAGTGACGAGCACAGCTGGAGACCAGGGGACACTAAAGAGTGACGCGCACAGCTGGGAGACCAGGGGACACTAAAGAGTGACGCGCACAGCTGGGAGACCAGGGGACACTAACAAATGACGCACACAGCTGGGAGACCAGGGGACACTAAAGATTGACACGCACAACTGGGAGACCAGGGGATGCTAACAAATGACGCACACAGCTGGGAGACCAGGGGACACTAAAGAGTGACGCACACAGCTGGGAGACCAGGGGACACTAAAGAGTGACGCACACAGCTGGGAGACTAGGGGACACTAAAAAGTGATGCACACAGCTGGGAGACCAGGGGACACTAAAGAGTGACGCGCACAGCTGGGAGACTAGGGGACACTAAAAAGTGATGCACACAGCTGGGAGACCAGGGGACCCTAACAAATGACACACACAGCTGGGAGACCAGGGGACACTAAAGAGTGACGCACACAGCTGGGAGACCAGGGGACACTAAAGAGTGACGCACACAGCTGGGAGACTAGGGGACACTAAAAAGTGATGCACACAGCTGGGAAACCAGAGGACTAACAAATGATGCACACAGCTGGGAGACCAGGGGACACTAAAGAGTGACGTACACAGCTGGGAGACCAGGGGACACTAAAGAGTGACGCACACAGCTGGGAGACTAGGGGACACTAAAAAGTGACGTTCAGGATTATAAAGCTGTCTCTGTTTCAGAGTTACGGCCCGTCCACACAGCGGCGTGAATTGAAGCTTCCAACGCTTCTGCCCATTCACTTTGAATGGGGTGACGTCACTTTTAGCCGAACTGCATCGTGGGAAGTGACGTGGAGCGTTGCTGGCGTGGCTCGCTGCAAAAGTTGAGCAATGTTCAACTTTTGACGCCTCGGCAGAAGCGTCAGCCAATCGAATCATATGCCAGTACAAGCTCTAGCCAATCAAACCGCTGCTTGTGTGTGTCAGGGGCGGGAGATTCATGTGATTGGTTGTTGGTCGAGTGTCAGACACGCCCGCCGGCAAGCGTCAACGCACGCCGCTGTGTGGACGGGCCGTTAATCGTCTCATAACTGTAACCATACGTCCACGCGGCTCTGTCGCGTGCTTCAACGGAGACGCTTCCCATTCACTTTGAATGGGGTGACGTCAAGCTTTGCCGAACTGCATTGTGGTTCGCTCGCGTCGCTTTTCCTCCGTTGCTCGCTTCGAACGTTGAGAAAAGTTCAACTTTTCAAGCGTCGACGGAAGCGCTAGCCAATCAAATCATATGCCAGTACAAGCTAGCCAATCAAACAGCGTGCTTGTGTGTCCGGGGCGGGAGATTAATGTGATGGTTGTTGGTCGCGCACCAGACACGCCCACCGGCAAGCTTCAAGGCGACTAGGTTAGCTACGCTAGCTAGCTAGCTAGCTTACCGCAGATCTGCAGTAACATCAGAAGGAGTCATGTGACCCCCTCATTTTACACCCAAATACAGACACATTTTGCCATTATGACACACACACACACACACACACACACACACACACACACACACACACACACACACACACACACACACACACACACACACACACACACACACACCACACACACACACACACACACACACACACACACACACACACACACACACACACACACACACACACACACACACACACACACACACACACACACACACACACACACTGCTGCAGCTTCTTATAAACCAAAGAATACATTCAGTGTATATTTTCTTTCTAAATCACATAAATTGCTTATTAGGTTTAAAAGAAACATGGATTAAAACTGTAGGATACTTATCTCATGTGTCAGGATTTACAGTTTAATCTGGTGATACTAAAAGAATAATAAGCACTGCCAATGTCATCCTTATTCCTCCTCATTTAGCAAAATGGGCTTTTTCCACCAATTTGTTGCAATTTTGACATCAAGAGACAGGGATTTCAGTTTCATAGCAATGCACATTTTTCATTTTATTCACCCTCTTGCAAAGTGTGAAATCCTGTTTATTAATTGATTTCACTTCAAATCTTCCAGAAGAATGACTGTGTGTGTGCGTGTGTGTGCGTGTGTGTGTGTGTGTGTGTGTGTGTGTGTGTGTGTGTGTGTGTGTGTGTTCCTGTATTTGATGCATCTGTGTGTAGAATAAGAGACAGGAAGGGGAGGGGAGGAAAACCAAGTGGGCACACGGGTGCACGATTTAAATTGGTGTTCTAGCTCACCTCATTACATCTGAGAGAGGGAGAGAGTGTGTGTGATAAGTCCTAATAAATAATAACGTTGTTAAAGGTGGGGTAGGTAATTTTGGAGAAACCGGCTCGAGTGCGCTAGAATTTGAAAATACACAACTGGAAAAAATCTGCCCCTTCCTTACAGAGCCCCTCCTCCAACACACACGAACGCGCACATGACCAATGAGGGCACGAGATCAGTTTGTGCCCAGATGGAAGGCTGACAGGCAGGTAGGCCATCCAGTTACTTTAGCCGGCTCAGATGATTGGTCGTGCTTTTTACAGCGCCACAGCTTCCACTGATGACCTTTCTTTATGGATTTTCTGTCAAAGCACTTCAGATATTCATTGCTATCGGGATGTTAAGAGCATTCCATGGAATATAACAACAAGTGTATCTCGAGCCGGTTTCTCAAACGTACCTACCCCACCTTTAAGTGAGACCTGCAGCGGTGGTGTGTGTTTGCAGCGAGCGGCCGTGCGATAACATCAGAAGGAGTCATGTGATCACATTGTTAAAATAAGACCATAAAACATTTTAGGTAAATTTCCAACAACAGTGACAGCGGGCCAACTTTATAATCCCTGAATGTGCGTCACTCTTTAGTGTCCCCGTTTCGTTTGCATGCGTTTTGGCACATTGTTTTTTTATTTGCATATGTTTTAAACCGCAGTGCGTTTCTCCTCAGTGTTTTGGGCCGTTGCACCTGTTTGAGTCGTAGATGCATTTTTTTAAAGCTAATGTAGACCAATACATTGAAGAGCAGTTTATTATTACATTGACATAGGATTTTATAGATCTAGCAAGTCATCCCAAAATGCACTTGTTTAGTCTTTTGACACAATGGTCATGGGGTGAAAGAGCAAAAACACAGCGTTCATGTTCGTGCTGCAACCGGCAGCCTCACAGAGCAGAACCACCATCCTACCGAGCCACCATCCTACCGAGCCGCAATCCTACCGAGCCACCATCCTACCGAGCCACCATCCTACCGAGCCACCATCCTACCGAGCCGCAAAGACTCCCAAAAGTGACGAGATGCAAAACGACAGCGAGATGCACCGAGACACGCAGTGCACTCTCTCTGCTCACATGCTCAACAGTACTCAGATCTGGTACTTTAGTAAAAGTAGAAGTATTCAGATCTTGTACTTGAGTAAAAGTAGAAGCACTCAGATCTTGTACTTGAGTAAAAGTAGAAGTACTCAGATCTGGTACTTGAGTAAAAGTAGAAGTACTCAGATCGTCTACTTGAGTGAAAGTAGAAGTACTCAGATCTTGTACTTGAGTAAAAGTAGAAGCACTCAGATCTGGTACTTTAGTAAAAGTAGAAGTATTCAGATCTTGTACTTGAGTAAAAGTAGAAGTACTCAGATCTGGTACTTGAGTAAAAGTAGAAGTATTCAGATCTTGTACTTGAGTAAAAGTAGAAGTACTCAGATCTTGTACTTGAGTAAAAGTAGAAGTATTCAGATCTTGTACTTGAGTAAAAGTAGAAGCACTCAGATCTTGTACTTGAGTAAAAGTAGAAGTACTCAGATCTTGTTCTTGAGTAAAAGTAGAAGTACTCAGATCTTGTACTTGAGTAAAAGTAGAAGTACTCAGATCTTGTTCTTGAGTAAAAGTAGAAGTACTCAGATCTTGTACTTGAGTAAAAGTAGAAGTACTCAGATCTTGTACTTGAGTAAAAGTAGAAGTACTCAGATATTGTACTTGAGTAAAAGTAGAAGTACTCAGATCTTGTACTTGAGTAAAAGTAGAAGTACTCAGATCTTGTTCTTGAGTAAAGGTAGAAGTACTCAGATCTTGTACTTGAGTAAAAGTAGAAGTACTCAGATCTTGTACTTGAGTAAAAGTAGAAGTACTCAGATATTGTACTTGAGTAAAAGTAGAAGTACTCAGATATTGTACTTGAGTAAACGTAGAAGTACTCAGATCTTGTACTTAGTAAAAGTAGAAGTACTCAGATCTTGTACTTGAGTAAAAGTAGAAGTACCAGAGTGTAGGAATACTCAGTTACAGTAAAAGTCCTGCATTCAAAATGTTCCTCAAGTGAAAGTAGAAAAGTATTCTCATCAAAATATAGTGAAAGTAGCGACAGTAAAAGTATTCATTGTGCAGATTGGTCCATTTCAGAATAATATATATAATATGTTTTATAATGATTGATCATGAAAGTGTTCTCAAAGCTGGTAAAGGTGCAGCTAGTTTGAATGACTTTGTATACTGCAGGGTAGCTGGTGGATTTACTCCAGGTGGTCTGATTTAACACTTGATTATATTTCACATCCTTCATCCACATCTGTGAAGTAACTAAAGGGATTAAATACATGCAGTGAAGTAGAAGTACACCATGTACCTCTGAACTGTAGTGGAGTAGAAGTACACCACGTACCTGTAGATGATGCAGGCGCAGTCCCTGCAGGTCCCACAGTTCTCAATGTCCTGTCCGGTATGGTATGAATGTCTTCTGTTGAAAAGCATTGAGATGACATATCAGGGGTAAAAGACTGTGTGTGTGTGTGTGTGTGTGTGTGTGTGTGTGTGTGTGTGTGTGTGTGTGTGTGTGTTCAAATATCCTATTTTATTTCAAGAAATCTTACCAAGAGAATGTTAACTTGTTCTATTGGCCGATTTGTGTTACTTATTACGAGCGTAAACGTTAGACTCAAGTGCTCAGTGATTGTAATGTGAAATGTCTGTTTCCTTGTATCATGTCTTGTCCCTGTTTGATGTTGCAAATGGAGCTGCTGTGATGAAAGAAACATTTCAGACTTGATCTGACAGTATGGTTTTATCGTAAAGACATTCAGGTTTCCCTCGTTGAACCCTATCCCTGTCCCACTCACATATCCTGCAAACACACCAATCTATTCCTCTCTGAAATCACCCCTGATCCTTTTTTAATGAGCGCTCAACTTTCCCAAAACGCTCTGCCTGTTACGTAAAACCACGAGTCACTATATGACTGCAGGCCCGATACAATGCTTATGAGGTAAAAGTCAAGTCTGCATGCATTAGACTTCTCTGACTTCTTATATAGGACACGTGAAGATATGTCCCTTCCTGAGACGTCACATGTTCAAACGTCTGCAGAGTGTATCGTTGGCATTGGAGTGTGTTTTGGATTACAGATTTCAGTCCTCAGATTCATAGACATCCAGCCATGTTTATCTTGTCCTATCCAAGAGTTCTCACATCGTTTCCAGTGTGATAAGGCGGGAGAAATTACTAAGAGGCTTACAATGTAGGAAGCAGATTAATTAAAGACTTGATGAGAATGGTAAAGGGTTTACACTCGTCGGAAAGCAGCACTAGACGACAGCTGATTTCTGAGAAGTGGGTGCATCTGAGCTCCCAAACGCTCCCTGAGGTCTGACATGACATCAGTTCTGCAGCATGTCAGGAGCCGAGGCTGAGATGGAGAGCTGACTGACGTGAGACTTCATAAAATAACTACAGACGCTCCTCTGCCTCCTGCGCTGTGTTCAATCTTGTTTTTCTCTCCCTGCTGTTTGCTACTCTTGTCTTCCATCTCTTACCAAATTGGCATTGTGTTCTGTCCGCACTGCTTTCTTGCCAAAGTATTTACAATGCTGGGATTGGCTATCAATAGAGAGGAAGAGCCTAGGCACAACAACCATCTATCTGTAATAATATTCAGCACATGAGGCAGCGCTGGGTTGTGGATATTCCCGATTTGAAGGATATTCTGCCGACATCGACCCACATGTGCTCTCCTCTCCAGCAGAGAGAAGACACTCTTTTATTGCCGAGCTGTGATCACATAATAATGTCTGCTCCTCCTTTGGCTTCGTGCGGAGGGATCCAGATTCTAACTTGAGAAATTAACTGTCTGGGAATAAAACAGCAGGCATTTAGGCCGCATGCTGACATTTACTTTCCAGGTCTACAAAATACCAGCCACTCATAATGTACCTGGTCCCAATGTTCATGGTTCTCTTCTTCACTGCTTTCTAGTTTGATCCTTCTATCTATGTATCAAGCTATTGATGCACCTTTATATCCATCTGTGCATCTATCTATCTATGGATGCATCTATTTGTGCATTTATCTATGCATATATGTCAATACTTATGCACCTATCTATCTATCCATCCATCTATCTACCTATCCATCCATCTATCTATCTATCAATCTATCTATCAATCTATCAATCTATCTATCAATCTACCCATCCATCCATCCATCCATCTATCTATCTATCTATCTATCCATCCATCCATCCATCCATCCATCCATCTATCTATCTATCTATCTATCCATCCATCCATCCATCTATCCATCCATCCATCTATCCATCCATCCATCCATCCATCCATCATCTATCCATCTATCCATCCATCCATCCATCCATCTATCTATCTATCCATCCATCCATCCATCCATCCATCTATCCATCTATCCATCTATCCATCCATCCATCTATCCATCCATCCATCTATCTATCCATTCATCTATCTATCCATCCATCCATCCATCCATCCATCCATCTATCCATCTATCTATCCATCCATCCATCCATCCATCTATCTATCTATCCATCCATCCATCCATCTATCTATCCATCCATCTATCTATCCATCCATCTATCCATCCATCTATCCATCTATCTATCCATCCATCCATCTATCTATCCATCCATCCATCTATCTATCCATCTATCTATATATCAGTCTATTTATGCATCTATCTATCCACCCACAGATGGTGTATCCCCCTCCATTGGTCCCAGGCCCCCGTTAGCCCTGGGTTTAGAGCTCCATTAGCCCACGGCTTGCAGACATTTCACATTTATAACTTCAAACGTGGCTTAGTTCCTCTTTTTGCCCGGGGCGTCCACACAAACATTTAAACTCTGACAAACCCGCTGAAATCCCCCCGGGCTGTGCAACATTTCACAGCACTGCTAACGCTACCTTTGAACAACACCTCGGACAGGAAGGAGAAACCAGAGGTGGGCAAAGCACTCAGGGCTTTTATTTGAGGAAGATTAGAAAGACCACTAAACTTTACTAATGTACAAAACCATTTGCATCAAAATATACCTAAAGTATAAAAGGTACCGGTTTTCATTCTGCACATTGACCTATTTGTGGGTGTGGAGTTTCAGGTGATGGTGAGATAGTGAAATATAATGCAGGAAGGCCTGTTTACGGTGGGCCAAAGTTGCGAATGTTTCATCAAGTTGGTGAATATTTTCTAAATGTGAAATTGTTAAGGCTTTTCTTCATTTGCATGTGTTTTGGCACATTTCAATTTTTTAAATTGCATTGCTTTTGAAACTGCAGCGCATCTCTCCTTAGGGAGATATCTTGGGCTGTTTTTTGCACCTGTCGACTACCGTAGAAGATCGAGTAGTTGATCCATTTTGAAAGCTTATCAGACCGAAACACTGAACAGCAGTTCATAAATCGATGATAGGATTTCAAAGATCTGGAAAATTATCCAACTTGCATTATTTATCCTTTGTCATGATGGTCATGAAGTAAACAGCAAAGCTCGGTGCACCATTGGCCCTCTCCACTGTGTGCTAGCAGTCTAAATGTTGCCTCAGGTCAGTCCTGTGCCGAGTAAATCAAGTGTGAAAATCCTTCAGAGGAACTAATGTCAGGAGTCAGATGTTTATGATCTTATGGTAATAAAGGAAGCACGCTATTATGTAACGTGAAATGCATAACGACCTGACACAGGTCTGATTGAGCTCAGAACTCTGTTCATTAAAACAGATTTGTGGTGTGCAGGCATTACCTTTTCATTCACGCTGAGTAAAGTGACAACCCAAATGAAATAGTGCTCACCCGTCTCTCTCGGCTTCCTTCTTCTCAAGGTCTTGAATGACATCCAGCAGGACCTTGATGGTGTTCTGGCTGGTCTCCAGGACCCCCTCCAGGCTCTGCAGCTGGGTCTGCAGGCTGCGGATATCGTGCAGCGGGCCGTTCGGACCCAGGAGCTTCTCGGCCACTTTAGCCGGGTCCAGTTTACACCTGGCCCCCGAGACCAGGCCTCCCAGAATCTCCTGCACTTGTCTCAGTGTTTCGGCCTGGGTGGAGGTCAGGGGCCCCGCTGTGGGTCGGCCCCCAGCAGCAGAACAACCTCTTCCTCCAGAGCAGTTTTGCGGCAGCGCTCTGTTGGGGGTGCCGGGCCTGGCGTTGGGCCCTGAGCAGAGCATTTTGTGCAGCACCCCGAGCTGAGCCTGGGCTGAGCTGAGGCAGCTGGACTTAAAACAGGCCTTGGCAGGAGAAGAAGAGGAGGAGGAGGAGGAGCACGGTTTCTCCCCCTTCATCACAGCGACTGGTGGAGTTTGAGCTCTGTGCCTCAGAGAACTGGATCTCCCACAGAGTTTGGGCGTGTCTGAACGTTTCACATCTTCCTTTTTCTCCTTCTCCACCTCTTTGTCCTTCTTCCCCACCTTGCTGTCTGTCCTGAGCATGGGTGTCCGAGTCGCAGTCGCAGTCGCACACGGTGGATCATTTCCCGTTTTGCGCGGCGTGTAAGGCGGAGGTGGAGGCGGGGGAGGAGGTGGAAGTCGGATGCCCCTCTTATCCTGAGCCTGAGCGGGGGGAGTGTACGGCGGCGCGGCGCGAAACGTGGAAGAATAAAGAGGAACAGCTTTAGTCGGGGTTGCATTTGGAAGATTGGACGTTTTCACCAGCGGAGGAGATGTGCAGGATCTGAGTTTGGGCACCGGGGAGGAGTAGGGGGTGATTCCTGTGAGGGAGGCGTTTTGCAGAGGGATGTTGCAATGAGACACCGTTTGTATGAGAGTGGCGTACGAAGGCGTAGTTTGGTGAGGTGCATGGGGACTAACTGAATTAGTGGAGTAATATGTGATGGAGGTGCAGGACATGGCAGTTTGAGTTACAAATGTGCATGGGGTTGCATTTGCAGTCGGTGTAAAATGTGATGCATTGAGTGGTAGCTGATGTGCAGGAGGTGTAGCATTGAATGCATTCTGTGTTGGAGGTCTCATAGTGTCACAGGGGGTTATATTAGCTATTAGAGTGGGGGTAGAACAGGTCGGAGGTGGGGCTATGTTTAAGATAGGGGAGGTGCCGTTTTGGGAGATGCATGATGTAGCATTTGCAGGACCGGTTGATGCATTGTGAAGCTGGTTTGTTACATTTGTGGCCGGGGTTTGAGGTCTAATGGGGTCACAGGGGGTTATATTAGGGGTTAGGGTAGGGGTGGAACATGTCAGAGGACCTGGTGGGGCTATGTTTGGGAAAGGGGAGGTGCAGTTTTCGGTGATGGACAGTGTTGCATTTGTAGGAGGTGTAGCGTTCGAAGCATTGTGCAGCTGATGCGTTACTTTTGTAGAAGGAGTTTGAGGTCTAATGGGGTCCCAAGGGGTTATATTAGGGGTTACAGATCGAGTCGGGGTGGAACAGGTTAAGGGAGAAGGTGATACTATGTTTGGGAAAGGGGAGGTGCAGTCTTGGGTGATGCGTGATGGTGCATTTGTAGGAGGTGTAGCATTCAAAGCATTGTGCACCTGATGCGTTACTTTTGTAGAAGGAGTTTGAGGTCTAATGGGGTCCCAAGGGGTTATATTAGGGGTTAAAGTTGGGGTAGGGGTGGAACAGGTTAGGGGAGCTGACGATACTGTGGTTAGGATAGGGGTGGTGCAGTCTTGGGTGATGCAAGATGGTGCATTTGTAGGTGGTGTAGCGTTTGAAGCATTGTGCACCTGATGCGTGACCTTTGTTGCAGGAGTTTGAGGTCTAATGGGGTCCCAAGGGGTTATATTAGGGGTAACAGATCGAGTCGGGGTGGAACAGGTTAAGGGAGAAGATGATACTATGTTTGGGATATGGGAGGTGCCGTTTTGGATGATGCATGATGGTGCATTTGAGGGAGGACTGGAGCAAACAACAGCTACATTTGGAGTCGAAGGTGGTGACACAACCGTGTAATAAGGGATCGGGTGTTGGAGGACCGTAGGAGAAGAAGTGGAGCAGGGAATGGAAAGTGCAATTGGTGGAGGTGCAGTTGAGCAAGGGGGTTTGGCGCAGTGTTCAGGGGTCTTTACAGGTGACGGTGAGGTACAGTAAGGCACAATAGTTATTTGGGTGGTGGGATTCGGGGATACAGGACTCTCCAATTGATTTTGCATGGAGCTCAGAGAGACTGTCGGAGGTGGGGAAGCACAGGGGCTGCAGGTTTGTGTCTGGACAGTGCAAGGTTCATGATTTGGAAGCGAGTCTGTTTGTATTTGGGTGGTGCATGGCTCAGAGTGGGCGGTTTTAATTGTGCATTGTTTCTCAATCACCGGGAGAGTCTTCGCTTGGCTCTCAGTTTGACTTTGCGCAGTGCAGAACTTTGAGTCTTGTGGCGAGGAGGGGCTCTCCGTTTGAACTTGAGTGGTGCAGAGTTTGTTATTTGAAGGGCATTTTCTGGGGCTTTCAGTCTGGGTGGGAGTGGTGCAGTGGTGCAGTTCCTTCCCAGGATCGCTTGTTGTCCGGTTAAATCGTTTTCTCCTCCGTATCGCTGCGGGGGTGCTGCTGCCCTGACGCTTGGATCCGTCTCGACTGGCCACCATGGAGCAGTGAAATGCATCCACGTTGTGAAGCACTGACGGCGGGCAGCTGTGGCGAGAGTTCTTCACCACGCTAACAGCCGATTTAAAGTCCGTCCTGGAGGGTTTTGACCTCCGTTCCACCGCCGTATGATCCCCAGCAGGACCGTTATGATCCTCGGACACCGACACGTGGTTGTGGGCGAGATACTCATCCTGCGAATCGTGTTCGTCATCGCCATCCATCCCCCGCGAATCCCCGAGGCTTTGACTACGAGTGTGTGAGGACTTCTTCAAGCATGGGGAGGTCTGGATGGCGATGGCGGTGCTGGTGCTCGCGTTCGTCCTCCGTGTCATCGGTAAAGTCAAGAAGTTGGGCTGCGGAGGAGCCCAGCATCGACGCGTCGGCCCTGGAGTCAACGGGTGAGGCGGGGCTCTCGCTAAGAAAGCAGCCACCACCTCTATAGTACTCGCCATATCCCCACGAACAACCCCAACCACGGACGTTTGCTCAGGTAGAGTCCGCGGTCCGTCCCTGTCCATCCACAGTTTTGGCGACCTGTGTTTTCGGAGAGGATGCGGGCTGGCACAATCAGGCTTCGGATGGCTGTTGTGTTCTCCGTTGCCGCTGTTTCCGCTGCTGCTGCTGCCATCTTCCAGGTCTTTGAAGCGGACCTGGTGCGTTCGGTTTCTGCGGCGCTTGAGGCGGCTCTCGATGTCTGGGGAGTCGCGGTTGAGCAGCACCGAGCGTACGGTCATCGTCCCGGGAAGCTTGTCGGCCAACGTGGTGCTCTTGCCGTTGGTTTGGCCCGTGAGCACGTGGTTGGGCTCTTTGCTCACCATGTCTCTGGTTTCTCTCGCTGCCCCAACATCCACAGTCTGTTTGATGTCGTGAAGGCTCAGATGTGTCAGTGCGGCAACAAGGAAAGCGATCCCCTCTTTAGTATATTGTCATCACAACAGTGAGAGACCTGCACAGTTGATTGACTGAGTTTCATCACAGAATTGTGTGCAGGTTTTCTCAAATCTGCACAACAAGGACTTTCTCTGCAGCTAAAAGATTGTCCTCCGGAAAGGATTCACAGTTCAAGATGTAGATATTTTAAGCACAGCAAGTACAAATTAAGTGTAGATCACCGTGATCATTGCTTACCGCTAGAATTAATCTACCTCGTACAAAAATATATGCAGCATTAGATACTCTTTAGCATGTAAAGAGTGTACGTTCACTCCCATATCTTCTCAAGTTGTCGACTTATTTCTCTTTACATTTCCAGGGAGACGAACTCTTCAGACCGGTAAATAAGCAGGAAGGAAGGAAATGCATCCTGTCCATCTTTCTGCGTCAGCTTGGCAGATGCTCAGTCTCCGCCTGCTTTGTCCCCTGGGCCCTCGGGTGATTGGATGCCCAAAGTACGGGGCCGGCCTGCAGACTTCCCCATAATGGCCGATCTATTTCAACTTCTTTTGTTGTTCTCCTTTGCTTTGGACTTTATCTCTCGCTCTTCTTTTCTTAGCTCTTCTCTCGATGACTCATCCTCTCATGGTTTGAAACCCAGCGTGAGTTCCTGAAGAGAGCAAGAAACAAAAAAGAAAAAGAAAGGAGAGTAAGACACTGTAATTGTTTCCATATTATTGCATTTCCATTCAAACAGATATCGCGCCGGCTCCTGGGGGATAATGGAGATATCAGATATGGCAGCTATTTTAAAAATGCATGAGAGCGAGGTCAACACATGAATGGGAGAGGAAGACATCAATTCAGGAGATGTAATGAAAGGATGTAGGCGGCAGAAGGAAGGAGGGATAGGGAACACACACGAGGTATATCATCAGCGATAGAAGAATATCCACGAAAGACAAAAGAGAGATTATAATCAAGGCCTATTCACATTGACTGAAGGTGACACTTGTGTATTTTGTATTCCCTTTATGTAGGCTTACCTTTTTTATATCCAATGTCTGTCTTTTGTATGTATGCAGGGTTACTTGTAAAATCACAATGTAACCGGATTGCTTTCCCTTACTATTGGATTAGCTCAATATCAAATGCAAATACATACAAATTGAAATATCAATAAAATGTCTTTTACTTAAGTGTATTATTTAAGACAGCAGAACAATGTGGCCTTAGAAAAGAAGAAACCAAGATATTAAGAAGCCCTATTCTGCCTTTTGGGGGTTTCCCTTTCCTGCAGTGTGTTCTATAGGTTTGTGTGCATGTAAATGGTCTGCAAAGACTAAAATCTCTCCCACACACTCCTCCCCCTGCCTGAAACGCCTTCTAAAAGCATGTCAATATGTCACAGTAGAGGCTTTAAATTCACTAATATGAACCTGAAAACGAGGAACTTTGAGATTTTAGCCTTTGCAGACCGTTTACATGCACACAAACCTACAGTAAATAACACACTGCAGGAAAGGGAACAACCAAAAGAGCTCAATCTCATCACCCTCATGTTGTTGTTGTTATATGCTGAAGAAGGTAAGAATGTACATTTTGCATTAATTGAATATGAGCAGATACTGTATGCTGTTGTTTTTAATAATCCTGCCTGCACTTTTTTATGTCTTTTCTAACTTTTCCCCGCGTCATTTTTATCCAAGTGTATAATAATGTGTGTATCCAGTTACATGTAACCCCCACCCTGTATGCATGCACGTACATCAGTGTTATTCATGGTTGTTTCTGCTCAGGGCTCAGTGAGTTATTCCTCCTGTGTGTGTGTTTTACAGATTTCTCTTCCCCTCCATGTTGAACAGCCCTGTTATCAGTCCTTGATGATGTGCCATGGTGACATCCTTTCTGAATCATCTGGTCACTGTGCGACAGCCTGCCTGCCTCGCTGTATTCAGTAGCATGTTCTCGTCAGTCTGATTCTGCGGCCTCTTCGTGACGATCTATGGCCTTCATACGTATATATATATAAATCACTTCCACTTCCTGTCTGAGCCACTGGCTGCCGTTTGCATTGCACCATCGATGGATCCTTGTTATCTCCTTGTGATATCCTGACAGTGACAGGATAATTCAGCGTGCCGTTTCTCTACCTCCTCTTTAGTGACTCCTTCACAGATCCCAGGTTATTTAGGGAGAGAGATACCCGAAGGGGCTGCCACTTTTATTTACGTCCACTGTTTTCCTCTTTTCTTTCTCGGGCTCTGAAGAGGAGGATCTTTGTCACAACCGCGCCCCCACTGTCAACCCCTTTAAAAAAACATGGTTATTAGGATTAATTATGATTAAAGTCACAGCCGACAGAGCCTCGAGGGGAAATATCAACCACACACACACTCAGAAATATTAATGCGTTTACAAACAAACCATGGGATTGCTTGTTACTTTCTTATCAGCAAGCAAATGGAAGACAGTTCACTTACTGGATATAGGGGCTGAAACACAAATGTGTATTTATAGCGTACTACAATCCGTTCGTATTGAGGCCGACCTCTGCCAACCCGCAACAACGGCCCAAATAACGTAAATTAGGAGAAACACGCAGCAGTTTCCAAAACGTTACAAATACAAAGTCATCTTCACCAACTTGACAACACATGAGCAGCATTTACTAAAAGCTGCATAAACCAAACGCTGCAAGAAGATCAAAACACAACGGAGACCAGGGGACACTAAAGAGTGACGCACACAGCTTGGAGACCAGGGGACACTAAAGAGTGACGCACACAGCTGGGAGACCAGGGGACACTAAAGAGTGACGCACACAGCTGGGAGACCAGGGGACACGAAAGAGTGTCGCACACAGCTGGGAGACCAGGGGACACTAAAGAGTGACGCACACAGCTAGAGACCAGAGGACACTAAAGAGTGACGCAAACAGCTGGGAGACCAGGGGACACTAAAGAGTGACGCACACAGCGAGGAGACCAGGGGACACTAAAGAGTGACGCACACAGCTTGGAGACCAGGGGACACTAAAGAGTGACGCACACAGCTGGGAGACCAGGGGACACTAAAGAGTGACGCACACAGCTGGGAGACCAGGGGACACTAAAGAGTGACGCACACAGCTGGAGACCAGGGGACACTAAGAGTGACGCACACAGCTTGGAGACCAGGGGACACTAAAGAGTGACACACACAGCTGGGAGACCAGGGGACACTAAAGAGTGACGCACACAGCTGGGAGACCAGGGGACACGAAAGAGTGTCGCACACAGCTGGGAGACCAGGGGACACTAAAGAGTGACGCACACAGCTAGAGACCAGAGGACACTAAAGAGTGACGCACACAGCTGGGAGACCAGGGGACACTAAAGAGTGACGCACACAGCTGGGAGACCAGGGGACACTAAAGAGTGACGCACACAGCTGGGAGACCAGGGGACACTAAAGAGTGACGCACACAGCTTGGAGACCAGGGGACACTAAAGAGTGACGCACACAGCTGGGAGACCAGAGGGACACTAAAGAGTGACGCAAACAGCTGGGAGACCAGGGGGACACTAAAGAGTGACGCACACAGCTGGGAGACCAGGGGACACTAAAGAGTGACGCACACAGCTAGGAGACCCGGAGGACACTAAAGAGTGACGCAAACAGCTGGGAGACCAGGGGACACTAAAGAGTGACGCACACAGCGGGGAGACCAGGGGACACTAAAGAGTGACGCACACAGCTGGGAGACCAGGGGACACTAAAGAGTGACGCACACAGCTGGGAGACCAGGGGGACACTAAAGAGTGACGCACACAGCTGGGAGACCAGGGGACACTAAAGAGTGACGCACACAGCTGGGAGACCAGGGACACTAAAGAGTGACGCCACAAGCTGGAGACCAGGGGACACTAAAGAGTGACGCACACAGCTGGGAGACCAGGGGACACTAAAGAGTGGCGCACACAGCTTGGAGACCAGGGGACACTAAAGAGTGACGCACACAGCTTGGAGACCAGGGGACACTAAAGAGTGACGCACACAGCTTGGAGACCAGGGGACACTAAAGAGTGACGCACACAGCTGGAGACCAGGGGACACTAAAGAGTGACGCACACAGCTGGGAGACCAGGGGACACTAAAGAGTGACGCACACAGCTGGGAGACCAGGGGACACTAAAGAGTGACGCACACAGCTTGGAGACCAGGGGACACTAAAGAGTGACGCACACAGCTGGGAGACCAGGGGACACTAAAAGTGACGCACACAGCTGGGAGACCAGGGGACACTAAAGAGTGACGCACACAGCTTGGAGACCAGGGGACACTAAAGAGTGACGCACACAGCTGGGAGACCAGGGGACACTAAAGAGTGACGCACACAGCTGGAGACAAGGGGACACTAAAGAGTGACGCACACAGCTGGGAGACCAGGGGACACTAAAGGGTGACGCACACAGCTGGGAGACCAGGGGACACTAAAGAGTGACGCACACAGCTGGAGACCAGGGGACACTAAAGAGTGACGCACACAGCTGGGAGACCAGGGGACACTAAAGAGTGACGCACACAGCTGGGAGACCAGGGGACACTAAAGAGTGACGCACACAGCTTGGAGACCAGGGGACACTAAAAAGTGACGCACACAGCTGGGAGACCAGGGGACACTAAAGAGTGACGCACACAGCTGGGAGACCAGGGCACACTAAAGAGTGACACACACAGCTGGGAGACCAGGGGACACTAAAGAGTGACGCACACAGCAGGGAGACCAGGGGACACTAAAAAGTGACGCACACAGCTGAGAGACCAGGGACACTAAAGAGTGACGCACACAGCTGGGAGACCAGGGGACACTAAAGAGTTACACTTTTTCGTGTCCCCTGGTCTCCCAGCTGTGGTGCGTCACTCTTTAGTGTCCCCTGGTCTCCCAGCTGTGTGCGTCACTTTTTCGTGTCCCCTGGTTCCGTTGTGTTTTGATCTTCTTGCAGCGTTTATTTTATGCAGCGCTTTTAGTAAACGCTGAGAATGTTTCCTGAAGTTGGTGAAGATGTGTTTGGGCACATCGTTTCTGAAACTGCGGCGCGTCTCTCCTAATGGAAATGTTTTGAGCCGTTGTAGATGCGTTTGCACCCGTCGGCCTCCGTACATTTGACCTTGATGATTTCTTTCCTGGATAAAACCATGTTTCCTGTTTTCCTATTTTGTCATTATCCCATTTAACAGCATCTGCCAGTCTTCCTAGCCATTTCTGGTCAAAAGCACTCTCCTTTAAACATTCGCCATGACAGATTTCCTCCACCAGTCTCAGGACCATTAGCCTTACTCGTTCTCTGGGTGCCATCCTGATCCTACCCTCTTTCTTTCCATCGCTCCTCCATCTGCTCCTTCTCATTTTATATACACCACTGTCACTTACATCTTTCTTCCTCTTCCTCCGCCGTCACTCGCTCAGCTGCAATCTCCCCCGCTGCCTCTCTTTGTCCCTCCTTTCACAGTTCCTCCATCTCGGCCCGCAAACTACCTTCGGATCAAAATTTACGCTGACAGTTTAATGAATCCGGACCCTCTTAATGCTGCGCGGGCTTCGCTCCTGTGGCTGAGGCTAGCTCTTTCCTACATGTGACATTTTCATGTTGAGCTTTATTGGCAGACAAGAGATAAATCACCCTG